CCGCGCACACCGCCTCGTCCTCGCGGATGATGAAGGCGAAGGTCAGCCCGAACAGGCCCAGCGTGCCCAGCAGGAAGAGGAAGTGCAGACCCACGGGGTCCCGCTTCTCCTGCTCCGTGATGAAGGGCAGCCGCACCAGCAGGATCAGCATCAGCAGCAGCGTGATCAGGGCGCCAGCGCCGGCCGCCGCCTCCACCACGATGCCCCAGACGGAGTCCAGGTCGCACAGGGACACGTACTGCGGGAGGAGGTCCAGCCCGCAGCCCCGGGACGTGCTGGAGTTCTCTGAGGCCCCCGCGGCAGCCGCGCAGAGCAGGAGCAGGGCCAGAGCTCCGCGGGCTCCCATCTTTCTCTCTGGCACCACGCATGTTCCAGCAAAGTTGGGGTGTGGGGTGGGAAAAAACATCAATTCATCGTAAGCCTCCCACTCCCCGGACTCCACCTCATTTCAAACCTGCCAGCCCATGTGGTGCCTTGGGACACTCAGGACAAGCCTTCCCCCGCTCCCCCCCAGCCCCTCCCGGCAGGCAGCACAGCTGTGCCGCAGGGGGTGGGTGGATTCAGGCCTCATCTGCACCTCCGGCCAGGCCCAGGGAACAGCCATGACTCATCACCAGTGGCCGGAGGAGAGGAGGAGAGCGAGGCTCCCTTTCTGGGAATACCGTCACAGTCTTTGACTTTGAGGCCGCATCTGACCTCCAAAAATCAGGCAATAAAATGAAACTTTAAAGAGACAGTTATGGCACAGCCACCGCAAGCCATTCAGCCTCTCGTGGCAGCAGCTGGCACCTGGTGGCAACACGGCCAGGCCTTTTCCAGGGACAAGCCACCTCCGGGAGGCTGGGGCGCCTGTCCAGGGTCACACAACCAGCTCCTGGCACCTCCCGCACTCCAGCTGTAGGACCATGTGCCCAATGAACCGTCTTCCCGGCTCCACCCCAAGTTCCCACCCTCGCATCCCCTCCAGAGATTCCCCAAACACCCATCTCACTCCATGCCAGCCTCTCCCAGGGATGCCCACAGACCACTTCCTGGCACGCACTCTGGTCCCCATGCCAGCCAGAGTCCAAAGCTGCTGCCTTAGCCCAGGGCTCCTGCCCTTACTGCTTCCTCCACTTGGACGCTTCTTGGAGCCACAGCCAGGAAAGTGGTTCCCCCTGCTGGCCTTGGCTCCAACATGGTCCCCTCAGGTCACACTCCCATTCCTCTCCATCAGAGCCCCTTCTGTCTTAGTCACTCACATCTCATCTCTGTGCCTGTTCACTCTGCTTCTAGGGTCCCTCTCCCCTGTCTCCAGGGCCAGCTGTCCATCAATCGTCAGCACAGACAGGGTTTCTCGGCCCTGAAACTACTGACACTTCATTCCTGGTCCTTCCATGCTGTGGGAATGCCACTGGCCTCCACCCACTAGATGCCCAAAGCAGCCCACCTCCCCGAATTGACACCCAAAAGGTATTTAGACACTTGCATGACCCCTTGGGGTGAGGTCTTGGGTAAGCACCCCTGGCACTGACTCCAGCAAAGTAGATGCCCTGGGAAGATGGCGGTCACAGGACCCCTTCCTCCACCCCACCACAGCTCCGGGCTTAGAAAGGAGCCAGCCTCCTGCCACACGAAAGCGCGCGCAATGCGTGTACAGCTGCTCTGGTCCCCTTTGCTAAGCGTCTCCAGCCAGCTCACTGCCTGAGCTCCACCACGTGTGGGCTGTAACAGCCCCCCAGGCAGCTCCAGCGTCCCGGGGCTTCCCTGAGTAAATGTGGTATCGGCCACCCTCTCAGTTCCCGCCTGGGATCCTGTGAACAGCTCCAACCCTACTGTGGCTGGGAGACCAAACGGGTGAACTGTCGATGCCAATGACCGAGAAGGAGTCTGGTGCTGCAGGTGAGCAAGGGGGCACTTGGCAAGAGATGCTCTTACACAGCACCCCACTTTGGCAAGTTAGCAGCGAGGATGCACCCCAGACATGGGCACTTTGGCCCTGTCAGCCACGTGGGCCTTGTCCACACGCCGCCTGTGTAGGCATTTACTTACCTGGCTCACCAAGTCCTTGGAACCAACTCATTTAAGAGAAAACAAGCCAGTCCTAGCCAGTTTGGCTCAGTGGATAGAGCAGTGATGGCGAACCTATGACACACGTGTCAGAGGTGACACGCGAACTCATTTTTTTGGTTGATTTTTCTTTATTAAATGGCATTTAAATATATAAAAAATTTCTATATGTGACACGGCACCAGAGTTAAGTTAGGGTTTTTCAAAATGCTGCCCCGCCGAGCTCAAAAGGTTCGCCATCACTGGGATAAAGCATAGGCCTGCCAACCGAAGGGCCCCAGGTTCGATTCTGGTCAAGGGCACGTACCTCGGTTGCAGGCTCTTCCCTGGCTCTGGCCTGGGCCCTGGTCAGGGCTTGTGTAGGAGGCAACCAATCAATGTGTTTCTCTCACATCGATATTTCTCTGTCTTCCCCTCTCATTTCCACTCTCCTTAAAAATCAATGGAAAAATACCCCTGGGTGAGGATTAACCAATAAATAAACAAATAAATTAAAGAAAAACGACCCATTAAAACACTTCTCTCGTGAAATGTCGAATCACGTGATGTAACTCATGTTGCATACCCAGTGGCATAGCCCCTACCACCCTCTGGGAAAGCACTGCCCTGGACAGAGCTGCTCCTCACAGTCCTGTGCGCACGCAGGACGCAAGCGTAATGAACACTGGCTATGCCGGAACTAGAGGCCATCTGCTCCTGCATGGGGGCAGCCCTGCAGCGGGCCCCCAGATATGGCTTCCACGTGAGCGCGACCAAGAGACTTCTCAGCAAGTAACAACTGGCACGTCTCACAGAGCCTCCCCAGGTCACAGGCAGCGAGGCTCCTCACCCGCATGGCTGGAGGACGGGGTAGGAATGGGCTTCTGCAGACTTGACCCCCAGCCTCCCCTTACCCCTAAGCCAAGGGACATTTGGCCTTGTCTAGGGATACTTCTGGTTGTCACAACTGGGGAGCGAGGTGCAACTGGCACCGAGTGGGTAGAGGCCATGGGTGCTGCTGAAGCTCCCACAGTGCACAGACCCCCACTCCCCCGACCCAACCATACAAAAGGTTACCCAGCCCTGAATGTCAGTAGTTCCAGGTTGAGAAGGTCTGAGGCCGCCTGAGGTTGGAGTTGATGGGGAAAACCCTAGGTGAGCGGCCAGCCTTGGCCTCGGGCCACATCTTGTGTCCCCTCCTTGCAAGAGCTTGGCCTCCTTCACCCTCAGGGGACCTCACCTCTCCCCGGGCTGGCTGCACACAGAAGTGGTGCCCCAGCTCCCCACCTTCCTGACGGGCCTTCCAACCACAGAAACCAACGGGGTGATGTAACCATCAAGACGTGACCAGGCTCCTATCCTTGTAGGCACTCTGGCGTGGCCCAGTCTCTGGCTTCCATCCCCTTCAGACATGGCGCATGGGCACACCTTGCTTTCTGCTTTCCTTCCTGAGGTGGAGACCCCTCGCACCGACTTCACCCACTTCCGAAGCGCTCCGGAGTTTCCTCTGCAGAGCTCCGCAAGCCTAGCGCAGCCCCTGACCTGGGCCAGGCCGATCAGAACCGTTACCCCACGACTGCTCCACGACAGGCACATAGCCCGCCGGATCCGTGATAACCAGCCTTAGGACATTTGCTAGAATTAACTGCAAAGACATCTTCTAAGCCAAAAGGGTGTAGACCTGGAGCTGGGGAGGACCCACTTACGGTCACAGAAGGGAACCTGTCCCGGAGGAAAGCTGACCTGGATGAAAGGGCCACGTGATGGAACAGGTCCTAGTGCACGGATTAGCTGCCTCCAACTATGCCTGAAGCCAGATACCCTGGTACTTCCCATTCTGGCAGCCAATTAACTTCCCTTTTATGGATTAAGCCAGTTTGGGCTGGATTTGTGTTACTTGCCAACAGAGAGGTTGTATTATTCCTCCAATATCACGTGGCCCTCTCCTTCCAGAAACTCCTCCCAACCATCAGCTAGGCGGCCAGGGCTGTGGTGGGCCCAGCAGCCTCCGGTGGGTCTCTGTCAATGCCACGAATGCCCATGAGGGCACAGCCACCCACTTCTAGAACTATACCCAGGAAAACCAGGAGGGCTAGAACTGACTCGCAGAATGAAGCTGGGTCCAGCTCAGTTAGGATTTGGGGGGACTCAGAGTTGCCACAGTTTTCTGTTATGGCCATGGTGACAGTGACAGCACCTGCCACCTCACCCCTCACTGTGCTGCTGGCACTCTGCCATGCCCCGCACACAGCAGCACCTTATGGTCTGTGCAAGGACGCGGCGAAGCAAGCACTGCTGCCATCTCCCTGTTACAGGAAACAGCGGGAGGTCAGCGGGCTGTCCAAGGTCACACAGCAGGAAACAGTGGAGCCAAGAGACAACAAGTGCACCATTGTCGCTGGGCACGACAGCCCAGGCTGTAAGCCTGTCACCTGGCGAGTCCTCCCCCGGCCAGTCCACCTAAGCCCGCGTCTCCCCGCCCTCCCAGGCGCCGGCAGTGCCTTTGGTCTTTGTCTCTGTCGCATGTGCCACAATCCCAGCCACTTCGCTGTGCTGCTCTTCTGGTCTGTGACCCCCCCCGCCACTCCCAGGCCCTTGCCTGTCTGGTTCTGCACAAATTGCTATCTGATAGCGGAGGGAACAGGGTCTGAGTTTAAGTCAGATATTCACCCTTGGATGGGGAACAGCAGCAGCAGCAGAGAACTTTAGTTAGATCCCCTGTACCCCATCCACAAGCCCCAGGGTGGGGGACACGGGTGCAGGGGTGCGCTGTGCGAGGAGTTGGGACACAGGTAGCAGGGATGCCAGAATGCCGCCTAAGGCCAGGCAGGCGCCTACTGTCAGGAAAGCCAGGTGTGCTCCACGGCCACCAGGTGCCCCCAGATCTTAGGGGAGCAGTGATCCAGGAACCCAAACTGGACAATACAGACCAGGGTTTAGGCACCGCAGGGAAGGTGGCAGGAATGGGATGAATAAAGAGCAACCAACCGGTGGGATGGGAGCATGCAGCTCCTCACAGGGAAGAACAAATAAAACTGAAGGAATGTGCAAGACTCAGTTCACAGCACTCACACTCATTCCACACTCAGATGCTCCTAAATACACTGCATTGCTCCCTCTCCCTCTCTTTACACTCTCATGCACTCTCACACTCACACATTCTCTCTACCACACACAACCTCACTCTTTCTCACACTCACACACTATGACACACTCTCTCACACACACACTCTGACATTACACATTCTCACACACTCACAATCTCTCTCACACACAAACTCTCTCACAAACACATTCTCACCCTCATACACTCTCACTCACACTCACTCTGCCACTCACTCTCACTCACACATACTCACACTCCCACTTTCTCTCACTCACACACTCACCCACACACACCTCTCACACTCTCATGTCTCACACACACTCACACACTCTCACACTCACACTCACAGCAATCACATTCACACACATTCTCTCACAGTCACAACACACTTTCACCCTCTCACACTCACACATACTCTCTCACACTCACACCCTCTCATACTCACACATACTCTCACTCATAGTCTCACACACACTCACACACTCTCACACACTCACACAATACACACACATTCTCTCTCACACTCACAACACACTTTCACCCTCACACTTACACTCTCTCTGACACTCACACCCTCTCACACACTCACACTCTCTCACACTCACTCTCACACTCATACATACTCTCACACACTCACACCCTCTCACACTCACACATACTCTCACACTCACACCCTCCCACACTCACACATATTCTCTCACATTCACACCCTCTCACACTCACAGCCTCTCATACTCACACCCTGTCACACTCACACTCACACTCTCTCTCACACTCACACTCACACACTCTCGCACACTGTCCCTGAAGAGGGGCCAGAGGGGCCGGCAGGTGGTGGAGTGCATGCTTCATACCCAGCGGCTGCAGAGGCTGGGAGGAATGAAGGAGGAATGCAGGAGGAATGCAGGAGGAGTCCCTGATGGCCATGTGCACTGGGCACCGGGTCCCATTCCTGCCACTTGCCAGCAGTCCCTGGGGCCCAGGCAGCTGATTGAACCTTTCTTGCCTCAGTTTCCTCATCTGCCACATGGGGGTGATAACAGCACCCACCGAGTAGGGCTGTGTGAGGATTAAGATAATAATTAGGGTTTAGGACAGTGGTTAACATAGGGTAGGCGTTTATAGAGTGCCTGTGATATAAATAGACACATCTGGCGGATCTCCCTGGCCTGAGGCTGTGAGCTTTCCGACAGCTCCTTCGGGGGCCATGGCCTGGAGGGGTAGGGGGAGGGGGCTCACCCAGGAGTTTGTCCACCACTGGTTCCTAGCCTCCCTCTCCTACACTAAGATTAGGTCCCAGAGGTGGTATGAAGGGAGACACCTTTGAGGGTGATCTGTTCTGGGAACCCCCAAACTATCCTGAGTGGGTGATTTTCCTGAAAGGAACCAGGTCAGAGGCCCAAGGTCAGCCTGGGTGCCCTCAAACGGGGTGTCTGCTGAGGAGTCAGGGCCAGGACACACAGCGACAGGCCTGAGCCAATCCCTGGGAACCAGCCCCCCTGCCTTCCCGCTCACGTGGAGGGAGGCACAGTTCTACACATCTGTCTCTGCAGCCCGGTCGACCAGCCTCATTGGGGCCACCTGCAGGGCTCCAGGAGCCCCATCCTCCACCAGGTCCCCTCCCAGGGCCCAGCAGCTCAGAGACATCTTGAACCACCTTCTCTGAAGGTAATGGGGGGGGGGCGGGGCTGAAACATGGGAGGGAAAGAAGAAAGGTGGGGAGGGCTCTAGTTTAGGCCCCAGAGGACAGCTGGCCCAGAATCAGCCCTCCTGCCAGCTCCTGGCAGCAGGAGGGAAGCCAGACAGCACCGCGACCTTAACCTCTCCACTGCCTGCAAAACGAAGGCAACCACAGTGTCGCCTTTGAAAGGCTGGTGTGGCAAGTGCATGACAAGTTCCAGGGAGGTGCCCGGAGCCCAGGTGTAGAGGGTTCTTGCTTATTATTAAAAAGACAACCATGGTCCCCATAGCCCTACGGGGAAAAGAAGGTAGAAGTGAGGCAGTTCAGCCAGAGGCTTATTGGAGCTTACAGGTCAAGCTGGGACTAGAACCCGTTTCTCCCAAAAGCTGATTACCAGGCCTGCTATTGCACCCCTGCCCCTGCCCCTGGCCTGACCACCCCCGGGTGTGGCAGGAGCTGGGAGGAGGCTGCAGAGCTCTCTGACAGAGGAGCAGCCTTACAGCTCATCCCGAAGAGCCAGTTACAAAGTTTCCTGACATTAGGCCGTTTCCTAGACTACAATCTAACCCTCTGGTATCCTTCCCAAGTTACAGGGTTTTATAATCTCCCTTCCCCGATGCTGCCCGGGCCTGGCCAGTTTGGGGGCACTCAGATTTAATACCCTCAGAGGATAGTAAAGAGGTTGCCAGACACAGCTCTGGGCACATGAATATGCAGAGCTTCTTTGATCCCGTGAATGAAAGCGATCATTTAAATGCAAATTCCATCCTCAGCTGCTGGGTGGGCAGGATGGCTCCTCTGGGCTCCAATTCCGAGAAGAAACGCCACTAACTCAGAACCCCAGCAAGCTCTGTGTGGAAGTGTTTCTGGGCGGTGGGCTCGACTGGGTGCTCCTTAGGGTGGACACGAACTGCTTAAAAGTGGGAGTGGGTTTAGAAACTCCTTGAGTGCACCCACAGAGCTGCGGCTGCACACGGACTCTGGGAGGTTCCAGCACCTTGCTCTCCCCAGAGGCAAAATGAAGGAGAAGCTGCTTGCTGTGTGTCCTCGTTGAGGTTAAAGGAGCTTTTAAAACTCAAATCTCCTGGCTTCCCTCCCACTCAAACCTCTAAGGAGTTCTCCGGCCTCAACTCCTTTCCCTGGCCCCAAGGGTTGTGGTCTGGCTGGTCCCAGCAATCCAGTCCTGTCACAGCTGCCACCAAGTGCCCACATGCCCGCTCTCGCGCTCTCTCTCTCTCTCTCTCTCTCTCACACACACATCTATCTGCCTGGGAGCTCCAGCCACAACGGCCTTTGTTCAGTTCCTCCAACTTCATCCCCACCTCCAAGTCCTTGCATTTGCAGTGCTCTCTCCCCAAGATCTCCTGCAGTGGGGCCCCTCTGGCAGGGCTCCCCTAAAATGTCACCCCAGAACAGCTTTCAGCACGTGCACACCCGGCCGCTGCTCTCCTGGCAGCCTCACCCTAAAGAGAAGTTCCATCTCTATACACTGACCTGCTCGGTGTGTTCGTCCCCCTCCCCGCGCCTGTGGGCATGTCACACGCTGCCGTCTCCCAGGCCCAGTTCCGCAGCGGGCACACATATTGAAATAAATTCATCCATGAAGATCTGGAGCTTCTCTTTCTAACAGGACCGCCTGTCTCGCTGGCTGCGCCCCAAAAGGCAACTCCTTCCCCTCCGTCCTCTCCCTTCCCAGCCAGGCTGACCTGTTCCCAGCTGAGCGCGGGGGGCGGAGGGGAAATGCCCACTCGGCCAAGCGGCCCGGTGCAGCCTATTTACATTCCTCCGCTGCTCACAGCCCGGGGCCTCCGGAAGCGCCCACCGCACCGAGGACATTTCTAAATCAAGGCTCCTGGGCTCAAGTTCGGAGGCTTCGGTGCCAAGTTCCTCACTCCCAACCCTCGAGCCTTTGCGAGGACCCCAGTTCCTCCGGGTCTCTGCTCCGTGCCCCAAGCCTGGCGCAGTGGGGCCCGGGCCCCGGAGGG